TAGAAAGGCCAAGAAATTGGTATTTTCACAAGAGAAGTACATTCAAAAAGTACTTCGCAGATTCAACATGAATAAAGCTAAGGTTGTCAGTACACCTTTAGTTATGCACTTCAAATTGAGCACGAAACAGTGTCCTTCTAGTGATGATGAGAAGGAAGATATGAAGAAAGTTCCTTATGCTTCAGCTGTTGGTAGTTTGATGTATGCGATGGTTTGTACAAGACCGGATATTGCTCACGCTGTTGGAGTTGTTAGCCGTTTTCTTTCTAATCCGGGAAGAGAACATTGGAATGCTGTGAAGTGGGTTATGAGATATCTCTGTGGCACTTCTAGTCTGAGTTTGTGTTTTGGTACAGGGAAGCCTATTCTTTGTGGTTATACTGATTCAGACATGGCTGGTGATGTTGATACTCGCAAGTCTACTTCAGGGTACTTGGTTACTTTTGCAGGGGGAGCTGTGTCTTGGCAATCTAGGTTGCAAAAATGTGTTGCTCTATCTACTACAGAAACTGAGCTTATTGCTATCGTTGAAGCTTGTAAAGAATTGCTTTGGATGAAGAGATTCTTGGGGGAACTTGGTTGTGCTCAAGAGAGGTATGTGCTTTATTGTGACAGTCAAAGTGCTATACATCTTGGCAAAAATTCTACGTTCCATGGTCGGTCTAAACACATTGATGTGAGATACCATTGGATTCGACATGTGTTGGATTCTAAGTTGCTTGAGCTTGAAAAGATTCATACAAATGACAATGGTTCCGATATGATGACTAAAACTTTGCCAAGAGGGAAGTTTGAAGATTGTTGCATGGTCGCCGGGATGGCGGTCTCCTCCACAATTTGGACCAACCCATTTTTGCCCATAGGCCCATTCTTATGAGGCAAATATAAACCTATTTAGGGTCTTATTTTCAAATACACAGAGAGTTTTTTAGCAGCCAAAAAGAGAGAAAAAGAGCAGATTTTCGCAGTCAAATTTCAGCCATAACAGCCAACTTCAAATTGTGATTCCCGCTTCGCTTCTTATCCGATTGAGCTGATTTTTGGACAGCATATTATCTTCATCTCAATCTTTGATTAGGAACTGACAGAGTTGGATTTGGTGGCCTGCAGCTTCAGTTTTGCTGTCGTGAATAATAGCTGTGAAATTGGTGATTTTGCTCCTTTAATTCTCTAGATTTGGTGCAATCTTATTTTGTTGTTGCTCGTTGTTTGGCACTTGTTTTGTGGCCAGTTTTGGAGAACAATATTGTAACTCTTGGTGATTATAGTGGAGCTTTCGAAGGGTTTTCCACGTAAATCTTGGTGTCTTGTGTGATTGGTTTATCATTGCCTTGTTATATTTGTTTGGTTGAATTACTTTCTGTCTTACTATCATATTGCTTGTGGTTGTTTGTTTTCTCTTGGTTCAAATCGAAAAGGGAAAGTATAGACTTGGGTATTCTTCCGCTGTTATCCTGTCAGACATTCTTTGTTAGTGCCTTGTCTTTCCCAACAAAAATAATGTGATTATCGAAACATAATAAACAAGATATGATGATAGATATATTAATTAAAATAGAGAAGATAGAAAAGGTCTTGTCTTAACTGATTAACAACCTCATCTGGAAATCTAGTTACTCTGAAATCCAGTAGAACCAAGCTAAGCTAGAAAAAATGGCTTCTGTTTTCTCTTTACCCTCTTCATCTTTCCTCTGTCCACTCAAAACCACAAGATTCAGAACAAAGATTCAATCTTTACACAGTTCCCCAAAATCACTCTTGATAAACTCTCTTCAGTTGCAAGAACTTGACCCAAATATCCCAGAACCAGTCCAAACATTCTGGAAGTGGCTATGTGAAGAAGGAGTTGTATCAGCAAAGACACCTGTAAAGCCAGGAATTGTACCAGAAGGTTTAGGGTTAGTTGCTAAGAGAGATATAGCTAAAGGGGAGACAGTTCTAGAAGTTCCTAGAAGGTTCTGGATTAATCCAGATGCTGTTGCCGATACTGAAATTGGGAATGTGTGTACTGGATTGAAACCTTGGATTTCTGTTGCTCTTTTCTTGCTTAGAGAGAAATGGAGAGATGATTCAAAGTGGAAATATTACATGGCTGTTCTTCCAGAGTCTACTGATTCCACTATTTATTGGTGGGTCTGCCTTCAATTTGCTTTCTTTTTTAGATTTATGAATAATTTTGCTTGCGTTTCCCAAGGTAGGCGTAAGGTTGCATATTGAAGGCAGATTTTTGTGTATTTTTTGCTACCACTTGTGCAATTACACTGGATATGTTGTTATGAATAATTATTTTGGAAGTTGTATTGCTGATGAAGGTTCTTGATATGTTCTTCCAGTGCAGGTCTGAAGAGGAGCTTTCTGAGATTCAAGGTAATCTAATCTGCTTTACTATGTAAAAGCAGAATTGCAGATTTTTGTGTTCATACACTCTGTGCCACCCACACCGTCTGAGTATTTTATGGAAACTGAAGCCCACAACTAGCTTTCTTTTTGTATGTGTGTGTCTTTAAGCTCGTAAAGGGGAAGTAAATCGAGCTCCACGCCATTGTATAAACATTTTTGGACTGTGCAGTATGTAGAACTTAAATTCTTGCTTTATTACTTAAGTGCTTGCCCCATGACAAAGTACTCTAAATTGCAGCCTTCCCCTTGTATCTCTACAAGAGTATGTTTTCGTGCCTTAAACACATGACCTTGAGGTTACCAAAGGAGCAACTGTATCATCGCGTTATGGCTAGTCCTAGTTGCTTATATTGTTATTGTCATAAAATTTTGGACTATTGAGAGATGTCATATGGTTACAGAACCTTTTGAAGTTTGTTTCCGGCTTTGGATGCAATATTTTATATGGTAGGCTAGTTAATGGTTTTCATATAACCTATGAAATTGTGATCCCTTATTGACTTAGTTAGAGATACTGTTAATGCTTTTGCATAGGGTTGTTACATGATTGTCTTGATTACACTCCATGATCAATTGTGTAGAACACGATGGCATTTTCTCTAAAGATGATGAAATTGCTCGTTGCTATATAAGAAATGTGATGTCCCTTGTTTGGTTAAGTGAGAATTTGAGAATTTCAGGTATTTGTGATTCATTTCGTTTGTCATGCTATCATTTGCAGGGACTCAACTTTTAAGCACAACATTGAGTGTGAAAGATTATGTGCAAAATGAATTCCGAAAAGTGGAAGAAGAAGTCATACTTCCTAACAAGCAGCTTTTCCCTTTTCCTATAACGTTGGATGATTTCTTCTGGGCATTTGGAATGCTCAGATCAAGGGCATTTTCTCGTCTTCGGAATCAAAATCTTATTCTGGTTCCTTTTGCTGACCTGGTAAGATATTAGGTAAATGAAAACTACTTAGATAAGCAATTGAAGTATTTTAATGATGCCGACTGCTCATAAGAAGCCCACAATGGTGAGAGAGGCTCTGGCTCTGTGCACCTGCAGTAAATGTTCATTGTTATATAACATTTCATCATTTTATTGGCTATGATGGATTGTGTGAATAACGTTATATGAATGGTTTACTTATCAGACAAACCACAATGCAAGAGTTACCACAGAAGATCATGCCCATGAAGTTAGGGGACCAGCAGGTCTGTTCTCATGGGATTTGTTGTTTTCTTTACGAAGTCCATTGAAACTGAAGGCTGGAGACCAGGTAAAGCTTATTGAGTTCTTCAATCCATCTTCACTAGAGAACAAGTCATTCTGTTATTGTTCATTGAAAAACTGATATTGTGAAAACAATTATTCATTACTTCCTATCTCATAATCACATGCATCAGGTAGCATTTCAATTTGATAGCCAACTTGGTTGATTTTGACAGCTTTTCATCCAATATGACTTGAACAAAAGCAATGCTGATATGGCTCTTGACTATGGCTTCATCGAACCAAGTACTTCAGCTCGTGATGCGTTTACGTTAACTTTGGAAATATCAGAGTCTGATGATTTTTATGAGGACAAGCTGGATATAGCAGAGTCAAATGGCCTAGGAGGAACTGCTTACTTTGACATAAAACTCGGACAATCTCTTCCCCCTTTTCTGATTCCATATCTAAGGCTGGTTGCCCTTAGTGGAACTGATGCTTTCCTACTAGAATCAATTTTCAGAAATGCTGTTTGGGGTCATCTTGAGTTACCTGTCAGCAGAGCAAACGAGGAGCTCATATGTAAAGTCGTAAGAGATGCATGCAAATCTGCACTTTCAGCCTATCACACCACAATTGAAGAGGTATATATGTTTACATCACTAGTTAATTCTGTTATTAAGACATCGTCATTGCCTCTTGTCCTACTATATTTAAATCGTCCATGTTTCATTGTCGCCTTCCTTTGATTCTATGGTATCTGGATTTTCAATCTTATGAATAAAACTTCTTTATGGCGTTGAACACAACAATGATTGTAGGATGAGAAACTGATGGAGGAAGGGAACCTCAGTTCAAGGCTTCAGATAGCATTAGGGATAAGAGCAGGAGAAAAGAAGGTTTTACAACAAATCGACGATATCTTCAGAGAAAGAGAATTGGAATTAGATGAATTAGAATACTACCAAGAAAGAAGGCTTAAAGATCTTGGTCTTGTTGGAGAGCAAGGAGATATCATATTTTGGGAGCCAAAATAAGGACACTTCAGCTGATCTTATGATCTGTCTAGTTGAGTTATATTACAAGGTCACTTTTTATTTGATGTAAATACTTAAATTACGAGCAGTTTTTGATAGTCAAATGCCTTTATGATGGTTGTTAATGTTTATGGAATCGCGATTTTCCCCGAGTTCTAGCAGCATTTCCTTTTCCAGCTGATGTTCAGGCACATAATGAGTACTAGCAGATAATAAAACAACTAACTAGAAATAGGAAGAAGAAAGAACAACATTTTCTTTTTTCCTTCTATTAAGTATTAATCCTTTTTCCTCAAGTGTAGTCCCACATCGTTGATAAATATACCTATTTGCCTCTTTATTTTAGCAAGAAGCAGAGTTCACATCGCCGAGCTCAGTAGCGTGGGCTTGTAACTCAAGTGAGGGCATCAGTGTGGTGGAATGTTGAACATGCCCAGAAGGTAGGGCTTGTGTGACAATTCTCTGGCCTGCCCTGTCCAAGCAAAGAGTTGGGTCTTGTGGGCCAAGCGAAGGCTTGGGCTGCTGGGCTCCTAAAGTGGGGTGGACTGCGTGAGGCTGGTTTCACAGAGCAACGAATAGCTCCCGCTCTGTGCAGTGGAAGGATAACGAGCCAGTGTCATATAAGTTCAACGAATGTCTGATGGGCTGTTCTAGTTAAACTACCACATTTTTGGGCTTGATTCCTAAAGTGGGGTGGACTGCGTGAGGCTGGTTTCACAGAGCAACGAATAGCTCCCGCTCTGTGCAGTGGAAGGATAACGAGCCAGTGTCATATAAGTTCAACGAATGTCTGATGGGCTGTTCTAATTAAACTACCACATTTTTGGGCTTGATTCCTAAAGTGGGGTGGACTGCGTGAGGCTTGTTTCACGCAATGAATAGCTTCCGTTTTGTGCAGTGGAAGGGATAACGAGCCAGTGTCATACAAGTTCAACGAATGTCTGATGGGCTGTTCTAATTAAACTACTACATTTTTGGGCTTGATTCCTAAAGTGGGGTGGACTGCGTGAGGCTTGTTTCACGCAACGAATAGCTTCCGTTTTGTGCAGTGGAAGGGATAACGAGCCAGCCAGTGTCATACACGTCCAGCGAATGTTTGATGGGCTGCTCTAATTAAACCACCACATTCATTTTTGGGCTTGATTCCTAAAGTGGGGTGGACAGCGTGAGGCTGGTTTCACGAGCAACGAATAGCTTCCGTTTTGTGCAGTGGAAGGGATACCGAGCCAGTGTCATACACGTCCAACGAATGTCTAATGGTTTCTAATTAAACTACCACATTTTGGGCTTTGATTCCTAAAGTGGGGTGGACTGCGTGAGGCTTGTTTCACGCAACGAATAGCTTCCGTTTTGTGCAGTGGAAGGGATAACGAGCCAGCCAGTGTCATACACGTCCAGCGAATGTTTGATGGGCTGCTCTAATTAAACCACCACATTCATTTTTGGGCTTGATTCCTAAAGTGGGGTGGACAGCGTGAGGCTGGTTTCACGAGCAACGAATAGCTTCCGTTTTGTGTAGTGGAAGGGATACCGAGCCAGTGTCATACACGTCCAACGAATGTCTAATGGGCTGCTCTAATTAAACCACCACATTTTTGGGCTTGATTTCTAACTCTAGCAAGTTTATAAACCACCACATTTTTGGGCTTGATTTCTAACTCTAGCAAGTTTTTAAACCACCACATTTTGGGGCTTGATTTCTAACTCTAGCAAGTTTTTGATATTGATATATTCAAATCAACATTATACATATAAGTTTATTTTTATTATTTTATTATTCTTATCTTGATTTTTGTATTTGAGTAAAAAGTTCATAATATTCTTATATTCAATTTAAAAAGTTCAAAAATTAGGTTTTATATTTTTTAATTTTGTTGTTTCCCAAAAACTTTAGTGGCTGATCATTCTCGAAATCGAATAAATCTTGTTAAAGGTACAATACATTAACAATATTGTACTAAATTAAACAACCTTTTATTGTTTATTTTCACTCATGAATTTCTCCTTGTAGGGATAACTCTTCATCTACCAACACTCAAGTCGAGAATAGATCTAAATATAAGAACGATCCAATCAAGATGAAAGAATTACGCCAAATTTTAATTAACATAACAAATATATCATAAGATCAATATTGAATACATATTAGGTTTATATATATTTAGTTAAGACTTCATATATCTGAGTTAAAGTTATGTGTATCTATGGAGAAAAAATTTAGATACTAGAAAAAAGGGAAGAATTTTTTAAAAAAATCCTTTTTTATTTATGATAAGACAAATACTACACAAATTGTGATTTATTCCAAAATTTGTGTGTTTCTATTACATTCATATTTAAATACACAGAATAATATGTATGCTTATTATTCATATCTAACTCTGGCAAGTTTTTAAACCAACACATTTTTGGGCTTGATTTCTAACTCTAGCAAGTTTTTGATATTGATGTATTCAAATCAAACATTATACATATAGGTTTATTTGTATTATTCTTATCTTGATTTTTGTATTTGAGTTAAAAGTTCATAATATTCTTACATTCAATTTAAAAAGTTCAAAAATTAGGTTTTATATTTTTTATTTTTGTTGTTTCCCAAAAACTTTAGTAGCTGATCATTCTCGAAATCGAATAAATCTTGTTAAAGGTACAATACATTAACAATGTTGTACTAAATTAAACAACCTTTATTGTTTATTTTCACTCATGAATTTCTCCTTGTAGTGATAACTCTTCATCTACCAACACACAAATCGAGAATAGGTCTAAATATAAGAACGATCCAATCAAGATGAAAGAATTACGCCAAATTTTAATTAACATAACAAATATATCATAAGATCAATGTTGAATACATATCAGGTTTATATATATTTAGTGAAGACTTGATATATCTGAGTTAAAGTTATGTGTATCTATGAGAAAAAAATTGAGATGCTAGAAAAAAGGGAAGAATTTTTTTAAAAAAATCCTTTTTTATTTATGATAAGACACTACACAAATTGTGTTTTATTCCTAAATTTGTGTGTTTCTATTACATTCATATTTAAATACACAGAATTATATGTATGCTTATTATGCATATGAGATACATGCTTTTGAATATAATATATAAAAATTGATACTTGATACATCAAATTTATACTAGATACATAAAAAAGATACATGAACTTAAAATTAGGTCAGATAAATCGATATATGAAATCAATATTAGGTCATATAAATAAATACATGAAATAAATACTAGACACATATAATAAATACGAGAAACTAATACTAGACATTTGTATGATACATATGAATATACTTAATACTCATGTATCTAAGTGTTTAGTTTGTTGGATACATCATATATTGATCGTAGATACATCAAATTAATAAATTTATTACTTCAAGAGTGATAAAATGAAATTGGTCGAATTATATGACCAAGATATACATATTTTTGTCTTTTATAATAATATTAATAAATATATTATTTCAAAGAATAATAAAATAAAATCAACTAAACATATATACACTCCTTGATTTCCGCCTTAATATAAGGGGTTTTATTAATTTAAATTTCTTTTATTAATTGTCTATGTATTCTGAAAATCTTCAATTACTCCTCTAATCAAGGAAATCGATTAGAATCAATTACTTTTTAAAAAATAAAATATGTATCTCGATTTTATATTCGACAAATACATGTATCATCTCATGAATTCAAACTTATGTATATCGAGCATAAAATATCGAAACTATTGAAATTCTTAACAATTAGGACCTAAACTAGTGTAAAAACATCGACTCAAGCCCACCAATATTCCAAAACGATGTCAACAATTCCAACAAAACATCCACCAGCCATACACATCAAAACAAACGGCGTCTAAGACCCAACAATCGATACATACAAGAACAACTTTCACTAACAATTAATTAATTGGATCAAAAATAGAAAAACATGGTTTATAAATTAATTAAATTACACAAAATATAAGGCATAGATATAAAATGTTATCATGACAACAAAGATGACAATCAATAACAAGAAACAAGATATAATAGATACGATAATCTTAATTTTGTCGCCAAGATCAAGAAAACAGATATGGAAATTTTATTTTTACCAAGAAAAAAAAAGAGTTATCCCCCGCTAATTGAATTAAGAAGTTAGATTATTACACGATGCATATAGAAACTTTGGATATGGATTTTATTTATTTTTTTGAATGTTGAGCAATTAGGAAACTTTGTATCGATATTTTATATCTAATTATAATGTTTATTTAAATACTGAATGTATTATTTCGAAGTACAATCATTGGTAGGAATGATGTTTTTGGTCCATTTAGATAGTTAGAAGATATTTTTGTGCAAAATATGTAACGAAGAGTGTATAATTTTGAATCCAAAATATAATAGTGTGTAAATTTTATCAATTTTAAATCTTTTTTTTGTTTTCCCCAAAGGCACAAAACACAATATATAATGTTTGCTTAGTATCACGTTGACTAGTTATAATAAAACATATCTTTTTTTTTTGTTATTTTCAGATCTTTAAAAATAAATCTACTAAAATAAGACAATATTAAAACATCTAATTTAGACGTAAAATAAATATTTAAGGAATAAAAAATAGTATAAAATATTCTGAAAGTTGGTTTGTTGGATTAAGGAAAGTCTAATCCGAATTTTGGATGGGTAAATTAATCTTTTTCTTACCTAATTATTCTAATTCGTTTTTAGGAGTCCAATTGGGGTAAAGTCAGATTTTAGTCAGTTTTAGAAAAGTGAATTTCACGCTAGGGCTTGGAGAAAGGAGAAGAACGTTCAAAATTTGTCAAGATTGTCTAAGTTTAACTTGTGGATTTCGTCGAGGGTGATCCCTACAAAGTATGTGAGATCACATAGCGTTGGGTTAATTTATCCACGCTCCAATCATGATTTATTTCAGCGAATTTAAGTTCTTGAAAGCTTAAAAATTGAGTTCTTGATGGATTTTGTCTGTAGAGTCCTAATTATCAGTGTGAAACGCGCCACATCTATAATTAGGAGGTTGCAATACTTAAGAAAATTATTTCACTTCTTTCACACTCATTTCGTGCATTAGAGCTTGATCTCTAAGATTTACAACAATCGAAAAACAGGGAAGTAAAATGTTACAAAACACCGAAGTAACTGGCTTTCTTTTTTACAATGAGGAGCTTTCAAAAATGATTACTGCTTGAGCTTAACTAGAATTCGATTGGCTTCAACTATAATTCGTGAGGTGAGAGCGACCGGGAGAGGTAGTAGAGGTGATCAGGATCTGAGAGAGAGGATGAATACATGTTGTGTTCATTGTATCATAAATACAATTGATATATATCAAGTGTATTTGTTCCCCGTGTATTCACTCAATATCAACAAACACAACTTGTATCAACAAATTAGAAACATATGTTTGATTTACCACCTTGTTATCTCCTCCCAAATTTCCCCTACCCCTACGAGTGATTTGGTTTGTCTAGCAAAATAGTATTATGTCCAATTACCCCACAAGTCAGCCATTATTAGGCAATGAGAATGATATACGCAACCAGAGGCAAAGAGATACAATACACAATATAAGCAAATAGAAAAAACCATTGTCATTTCGAGACTGCTAAGAACAGCTCAAAAACAAATGGATGATGGAAAAGTTGGTTGAAATGAGGGCATTATGCAGATTTTTGGGACAAAATCCTCAAACGGTCTCCAGAGCCGGAAGGATATAATCCAATCCACAAGTAGAGCAAGAACACACAAGAATCTCAACTCAAAGATAAGCCAATCAGGGTAAAATCATGATTGCCGCGAAGCAAAAACAATTATTCACAGTATTAATAGTTCAATACGACTAGGTCATAGACCAGCAGAACTAAGATCGATATAGCTGTTTTAGATGCAAGCATTAAAAAGGATAAATAGCTAGTAAATTGGACTATATTGTAACTTCTAGCATACCACTGCACCAGATTGAACACAATCACAAAATGAAAATACGAATACACAGAGACAAATTGATGAATGCTGCAGTTTACATGACTTACGAAGTATGCAGCCAGGAAGGGGAATTTGAATTTCTGTTCATATCAGTTCACAGGCATTGCATTGGTATTATTTTGTATGATGGTCTTTACAGATTGCCTCATCTGTAAGAAAAAGACAATTTTAACGTGTTTGAAGCACAACAGGAGCAGATCTCTTGAAACTCTATTTCATAATGTAAACAAACTATCTTTTTCTAAAAAGGTGAAGGTAAGAGAGACGCGAGCTATCTAAAAGATGATGAGATTCAATCAACAAGCAGAAATGAGATGAAATGAGCTAAAGAGATTAAAGAACCTAATCAAAAAGTCATATGAAGAGCACTAACATAAGCCTCAGTTTATCAGCTAATCTACTTGTTACACACTTCCTGGAGCACAGTGCTGAATGCAGGTGTAACGTTAAGCAGCAGTAAAAGCATAACCATATTTTTCCAACATAAAACGGCATTTTTCTCTGGGTATGGAAACAAATATTCTCCTCGGATTATCTGGTTGAGAATCAGCGCAACAGGATGCACTTCCTTTTATAGTACAGTGCAGAGGACAACATCAGTGGCTTTAAATGCATTGCACATGCAGATACCCGCCATTATGACGATATGATGGAACCTTTAGTAGCATAAATTACAAAAGATCAGGCGATTAACAGCAGCAGCAAGACACAACCAAAAATCTACTTCATTTGTACTGTCAAGTCTTCAAATGATATCAATAAAAAGTATAGATTGTAAGGATGTATATATTTACAGTTTAGGAACTTGAGATTCTAGCAGGCAACAGCACTGAAAGACTGGATCTCTACCCTTTACTTTTTCTGGCATACTATATTCACAATTTGTCTTCAGTCACACAATTGAGAAAATGAAAAACTCATGTACTGCAATGAATAAGCAAAGAAGTTGAGTTGATATCAAATACTCAAACTTTATCAGTATGAGGAAAGGTAACCTTGTCAAGCAAGAACCTTTAGAATCACATAATTTGTCTTTTAGAAATCTTAAATTGTCCAAAACATGGGATTGATGTCATTGACGAGTAAATAGAACAATGTCTCACTTTATTATACCATATTAATATTAAGATAATTCTGATAAGGAATCTGACTGGCTCATGGATCTTAACAACTGATAGTAGAACGTAACAAGATGCAATAACATTACCGTAGCTCTTAAATGTAATCTTGCATTCTTATCTTGCTCAGTCTGTTTCCAGCTGAACACACAGAAAATAGAGAGTTATCTCACTGGTCTTCAAAAGATTCAAACCAATAACCAACTAGTACTCAAATCATATTTCTTTTGATACAGCTGAAAGTCAAAACCTTGCAGGAAAAAAAAAGAAATAGATACTCCTAAACTGATGAAGAAAACAGATAGCAAGTAGTCAATCCATCTGATTTGGATTTTCCTCAATGCATCCACACTTCATTTCTCACAATTAATGCACTCCTAAATTGATGAAGAATACAGATAGCAAGTAGTCAAGCCATCTGATTTGGATTTTCCTTAATGCATCCACACTTCATTTCTCACAATTAATGCATTTACACATAAATCAACAACTACAATACTAATTCCAACAGCAATAAACTAACATCAAATTCTTATTTATCGCAAAAAAATGACGGAAATTGTAGATCAAGAGTTGAAGGTCATAGCTGGAAGATATCTTCTGCTCTTCCAGCATCATTATATCATAAATCAGAAGAAACTATAGTTTACACCAAATTTCGCTGAGTATACAAAAGACACAGAGACAAAATGCAACAAATTATTCAGTTCATGAGAAAACATATAATGTTAAAATTTGAGGCAACTTCAGTACAATTATTGGACTATTCTCTTCCCTCAATTCAAAAGAATCTCCCAATTTCCACTTTTTAATAATCAAAATCACCTATAACATCCCAAGCAAAAAAAGATCATTTTTTTCTGATTCTGTAGACTTACTAGCCTCTGCTTTAGCTAAGAACTATTTGAACTCCCTTCCAATTTGGTGTCGTTGCCTTCATCCTTCAGCTTCTCCTTCTCCTTCTCCAATTCAGCCCCTGCAGCTTTCTCAGCTTGTAATATAGGAGCATAATAGTCAGAGTGCACCTCCATACACTTCCTCAAAGCAGAAGTAACCTCAAAACACTTTTCCACTATATCCTCTTTGTTCTTCTCCCCTTCTTCAATACATTTTTCCCAGTCAATAAAAGAGTCTCTACAACCTCCCCCTTTCATAAACAAGCAAAACCCACATTCACCCTCCTCCTCTTCTTCCTCCTCGTTTCCAATTTCTTCTTGGTCTTCCTCCTTAGGTTTTTGGGTTTCACTCGTTTCAGCTTCATGGGTCTCTTCAATTTCAGATTTTGATTCGTGGGTCGGTTCAATTTTGGATTTTGATTCGTGGGTCGGTGAGGAAGACATGGTGAGGATTGTTGAATTGGGGGAGCTAGGGTTTGAATCTGAAAGCTTGGAAGTTAAGTTTTCCATGGCTGCTCATAAACCTCCTCTTAAACCCTTTTTCTCCACAGAATAGTTAATATTTTATTACTTTTTGGACATTATTTATTTAGAAATAAAAGTCAGGTCAATGAAAATTATTAATGCCAAATGAAAGATCTGTGTTTTTTATAATGCATAAACATAATAATTATGATATTCAAGTTTAGGATTGCATAACTAAATATTTAAATTTAAATAAAATTGAACGAGTAGACACACTCATTCTACATGATAATTTTATATTTTGCGTAACGTTCTACGTGTATTATGACATGTAAGATACATATATCTACTTATTCAATATTATGCAAATTTAAGTGATTACTTGTGCACACTCAAAATTGGAGTATAATTATTCGCTGAAATCAAGTTAATGATCATACTTATGTATTATGTTTTTTTTGCTTTCCAAGTTGGCACAACATAACACTAGTATCTTCTAGATAAAAATTACCCCTAGCAATGAAAAGGAAAAAGAGAAGATAATAGTACTTCCTTTGCCCCGAATTACTTATTCACTTTTAAATTAACGTACTTATTAAGAAAATAATTATTGATACTGAGAGTTTACAGTTTTCCCCGGTTAATTATGAAATACATAAATTAAAAACTTAAGATTTTTACAAGAAATTCTGTTTTTTTTTCAAAGTATTAATTAAAGGTATAATAGAAAGAAAAAATTGTTCTTTCTTAATTTATCAAAATTGATAAAGAATTAAAGACAACTAAATAACAAATAAATAAATAAATAATTAAAAACAAAGGCAGTATGAATACTACATTTAATGAAAAAGGAAAATATTGTTTGTTATTAATGGTTTAAAATCGTCCACAAAAGCTATGTCATAACCTATGAAGTTTGGGAACATAACAATATATTAGCTCAATGAATTTGGTAGCCTAAAGCCATTAAATATGATTAAAATAAAATTAAACATGTTTGATTGTTTTTTTCTTGATCATTCACTTACTATCTTCAACTTGAACAATATACAAACAAGAAATTTTTAAATTTGTATAATTCTCAACAATGTATTCTCTCTCCCTCCTTGTCACTGCATATCTTGCCTTGTTCTGAACTCCTGCCTGGTTTTTTTTTTGTGTGAAAATTAAGCTCTTCCACACGCGTTCTACTCTTGGCGTCTACCTTTAAGCCCAGAAATGTAACAACTTCTTTGAGCTTAGATAGCAAAATGTTGTATATCATAAGACATTTGACATGTGAACTATTCATGATGAATGACATTTGATGCTTGGTAAAGTTTGGCAGTTGCTAGTACTCTGATAAGGTAATGGGGATCGATCGATAAATGTTCATCTTTATTCTTCTTTGTGATCATCCTCATCATGGTACGCGAAAGGAAGAGGTACTGACTTGAATGCCCGGTATTTCCCCACATTGTTCAGGTGTTCATTTTCCAACCTGATAAATTACAATGTATATAGATAGATCTAAGATCGCATAAGTACAATTATCAACAAGACTGGACATGGACAGCAGAATTGCAGTGAGCTGTGCAATGCCAGTTCACAGAACTTCAAAGATGATAAACAAGTTATGGGAAAGACTGATTCAAACGAAAATGTGGCATCAGAAGTTGTAATACCTGAAAAAATTCCACATGCCACGTCGAATCACTTCTAAGCAAGCAAATATGCTTGAGACAGTGCTTCCTCGCAAAGAGTGCACGTTGAATCTTAATACCAGTTGTAGCCAGGCAAATCTGAGCAAAACATCCAAGACCTGTGAGAACGAAAAAGTCAGAAGAGTAGCTAATAACAGCTCGTCTTAAAATGAATTGGAACAACTTAATTGTCTTATGGAAGTTACCATGGCTGTGAAGTATACACTTTTATGGTGCAGTATGAGCTTATCCCGCAAGAACTTGTTCTTCGACTTCCTTCTCAACAGCCCCCAATCGACAACTATATCCCAGTACGTGTTGAAAAGAGTTGTGATAAGTGAGCTCAGTATAACCAACACCTCCCAAGTCAAGCTCTTTCTCAATACATAAGCTGTTTTAATAACGACAGCCAGAATTGTCAAAAAGTATCTCAAGCCATTGTATGCCTGTGCTTGATCCTTTTCTTCAAACAGTCGACGGACACACTACAGTGAAAGCATAAGCATCTTTAAGTCTACTGTAAAGGAAAAGATCCCGTTCTTGAGTACTTAAAGAATGGTATAAAGATACTATTAAGAGAAGCGAGTTCCTAATAGAACATGATTTGTGCTTAAAGCCACCAAGGATATAGCAGAGTAAGAGATGTTTGATTTTCGTTAATTGTGAAAACAATCTAGAAGATGTCCCGTGTCCTAGAAACAAAACACAGGCAGGGGGAATCACTAGAGATGAAAGGAGGAGGGAAGATCCGTAGTGGCACTCATCTTTTCATATACACAATTTACAGTAATGAACTAACAATCAAAATTAGTCGTCAAACCTGGAAAAACCGGAACCAATATGGTATGATCGCTAGAATGAAGTAAAATATGTTATAGACATTGTGACTTTGGCACGTATCATGTCCATGTGAAGATTTAATCCAAGTATAATAGCAAATGTAATACTCCAAACTCCTTATTGCTTCAACCTGTATTATGTAGGAAGTTAAAACCATTACAACAACCAAAAGATGAAGTAGAAACTAAATTCTACAATGTCGAGAAGTCACAGAACCTGGCTAGTCAGCTGGTCTGCTAGAAAGAAATCTGGAAGTGTCACCTGCACAAAATGAGAATTTAAAGAGAGAGTTAGCTCACCTGGATATAACTATATACTTTCCCGTTATCTGTTGAATATACCTTGTAAAGAGGAGCACAGATACAGCGGAAGACACATCTTATAAGGAACCAACGACTTGAGCGATAAATGATGTTAAACGGGCAGAAAGTAATGAAAAGAAGTACCTGCATAGAGAATTATCTTTGGTGAAAGAAAGTAAATACAGTAGAACTGATCAGTCAGAAAGCTCTAAAATCATACCATTATCAGTCCCAGAGGAACATAGTCAATACGTGTACCATATACTTCAGCTCTTGAATTCATGTGCAGATGCATCAGGAGAGCGGCAAGGACGAGCATTGCTAGACCGTTGCTAAGAAGAAAGACCTCCCTATAGCTTAACTCGGTCCCTTGCTTGAAACCAAAGATAAATGCATAGTTGATTTTGTGGTGCTTCCAGAAATATATGTTTGCAGCATATAAAAGCATATGCAACACAATGTATGCATAAAAACTGCCAGACAATTCAAAACTCTTCTCTAGTCAAATTACAGGTTCAGGAAGAGCTAAGTATGGTTTGTCATTATGCTGGTATTAGTGATATTCACATAGAAAAGAGTTTAATCCTCCCTTACCTGTAAAGTGGAACTATCTTGTCCAAATAAGAGTTGCCTTCATCTTTATCTATCAACTTTCTGTCATCTCGTAATAGAATAACAGCAACTAGTAGAGCAATTGAGCAACCAGAAAAGAAACCTGGAAATTGTGAATTGGTAAAATTTGAAATAACGCAAAGGACCAAAATATAAAGGGTACTATAAAATGGAAAAAAGACACACACTATATCTGAAGAAAAGAGTGACTGTCCAATCGGTTCTGTCCATCATATATTTGTATTACTTGCCTGATATGAATGTTATACGATGTTTTTCTCTTTTATGCTTTGGCCGCAATATCTTCATGCCTTCTCTGCGGTTCGACTGCGAAAAATGCTTGATGAAGGTGGTCTCCACCCTGTCCAGAAGACTGGTAACCTATAGAATGGCATAATACCATCAATGATGTAACAGTCAGTTTCAAGTACAACACTACGATAAAATTTCTTGTTTTTTTTTACAAGAACAGCATAATCCTAATGGTGGAAGGATAGATCAGACTGACCTCCTCGGAGCTGCCAAGGTAAGAGTTATCTACCATTTTCAAGTATGATCTTGCTGCTTTTCTAGATGTAATCTGCAATCGGGAAAAGGATCCAAAATTTTAAGATTTTAAATTCCTTGGTGACAGACTGCAGCATTCCTGGAACTTGCTCAAAATGTTGTTTTCACTTATAACTATTACTCCCTCCGTTTCAATTTATTTGTCTTTCCTTTTTAGTCGTTATAGAAAGAGTGTCTCTTTCCCTTTTTTGGCTACTCTTCAGTTTCAGCTCTCCATGTGACATTTAAAACCACAAAATTAAAGGACATTTTGGTACTTTCTAAATATATTTAATTTAAGACCACAAGATTTCTTAAACTCCGTGCCAAATCAAAACTAGATAAATAAATTGAAACGGAAGGAGTATAATGTAAATGTAACCGAAAGGCAGGCTATTGAAATAAGCTTTTGGTTAGTGAAACCTAACCTTTTCATATTTTTTGAGGATCTTGGAGAATGCAGACAGGTTCATATAGCTGTTATAAGTTCACCGAAGAAGAAGCAGTCCAAATGCAGAGAGCCGGAAAATAATTAAATTGAAAGAATAATTTTGGAAAGGAAATTAAAGCAAGTCAGAATTTAGTTTGCTCTACCTGAAATGTTTTAGATGGCGAAGTTTTTGATAGAACTCAATAAAAATAAGCTTCAGCCTATGTTCAACCTTCTTTAGTTCCTCTTTCTTATAACTCAAATCATTCTCTTTGGATTCGCTCAAGACGCCTCTTATAGTTGATATGGGACTTTCAAATGTATTAACAATCTTAACATGATCTAGGATTTCAAGAGGATCGGTTTTATGTGAATCAGTATCTCTGAACTCTCTTAAAGAATTGCGGTTGATGGGAAGCTTTGGATATGAAGCATTAGTCATAGAAACCTGTCTTCCAAAACTTGGACTGACAGGCATGTCATCTGTATCTGCAAATTGACAATGAAGAATCTGAAAATGCACTATAACGAAATATACATAAACATCATCTGCAGGAATAATGATAAAATAATTTACTTCTCTGTCTAATCATACAATGAAGCGAAAGATAGTCGTAAAGTTGGGATATGTAAGCTGCAGTACTAAGTTGAGATTGGACCTTGTAGCCAACTAAAGGCCAACAAGTACTAAGCTCCATCCGATTCAATTTGTTTGTCTTACTTTCCTTTTTGGTATGTTTCAAAAAGAACGTCTTTTTTCCCTTTTTAGCCAGATCAAAAGACATTTTGGTATATCCTACATGTCTTGAGTTTAAAACCACAAGTTTCAATAGTCCTTCTTTATTTTTTCTTAAACTCCATGATAAGTCAAAAGTAGACAAATAAATAGATTGAAAACGAGGGAGTATTATTTGATGAGTTACTGTTGGTTTGTTGTTGAGTCTGCTTCCTAGAGGGATCAGCATCATTAAAATTCCAACTATCAATTCTATTGCTATATAGTTACTACTTGTAAAGCTCATAATATGTGAAATCCATGAAGTGGATTTGATTGAGTCCCGTACCTACAGCCGTCGTTTTGAGAGGAGATGTGATCCTCGAAGGTGTTGAATTGTTAATGTCCAAGGAAAGACTTTGAAGGGAAGGAAATGCATTGAAACCCGGATCCATTACCTTGATACGTAACGCGATCAAAGCATCCATCTGTTTATTCAGCAAAGTTACTTCCCTCATGACTTCATCCACCTTATCCTTATAGAAGGTATTAACCTTGTTGAATTCATGGTCTAGTTTGTCAAAGAAGATAATCTCATTTTCTGCTCCTTCAGGAGATGCCAGGAACTTTGTTTGGTAAAATTTTCTGTAGTTTTCGTGTGGCACCGTGTTTACTGCTATCACCTGGTTCTCAATATCACCAGTATTCTGAACACCGCCTTGTAGATTTAGACCACTAAAGTTGCGATACAATGCCAACCTCTGATCTAAAGATGTTGCAGGCGTTTGAGGCTGCTTGCTTTCCTTAAAACGGCGGATCTCTTGTAAAATATGTTTGAGTCCAGTGTAGTCTACATAAGCTTCTATCCACTCTGGGACCATTTCCCTTTTGAATAACTTACCAAACTTCATTCTTGAATGTTATATCTCAAAATTTATACGAAATTAGCAAACGTCTAACCGCGTTGGGGTATATATCTGCAACTTCACATTCAAGATTCCAAATAGTAAACAGAATGTGTGCCATTAACAAGTGATACAGAATATGACAAGTGAAAAATTCAGCATGATCACAAAAAAAATTCCAGCTTTCAATTAAGTCATAATATCTAAGATGATAGATTATGAAGAAAATATGAAAAAGGGCAATCTCTAAATCTCAAACTAATTAACTGAACAAGAAATATGGAGAAGCTAACTACCATAAATCCAATGTTCCTCCATCAACACACTTTCTAGCCAGAAATAGGAATTTGGGAAAATCACAAGTTAATATACATAAAAACAAAAATAAAAATTATGATAAAAACATACAATTTATAAAAAATCTAGTGTTTTTGTCCCAATATATGAACCCCGCCTAGCCCGCTTCTTCATTGAAGAGATAACATCACTCAAGTAACTTTTTCTAAGAATATTACTAAACTTTAGCTAAACCAACAATCTCCTAAAATACCCAACTCATCATAATTCAAGAAGCTATATTAGGGGATCTTAATTAAAATTTTTGATTTCCCACCTTGTAATCCCGTCATTAGTATGTACAAATATCATTAAGCGGATAATTGTTTCATAGACGTGACCTAGTAAGCTCAGAATTAGGTCACGTCTAAGATAAATGAAAATACTGTTAATACTCTTTTAAGCTAGAAAAAGATATATATATATATACATATAAAAAATAAAAATTATGTGTAATTTATCGAAACTATACAAATTAAAAAACACATGCATGATTATATGTATACACAACATAATTTGTAAAATAGTCGGTGTACCTTTTTTTTTTTTGGCTATGTGATGCAGAAACTTTGGAAGAGCTGATGATGAACAAATTTTGCCAATTTATAATTTTGGAAATTGGTTTGCTTGTGTTAACAAACAAATGTCAGCTGTAACGCGGCTGGTTTAGTTAGTTATCATCCGTAAATCTCAGCGTATTACACGTGGAATATAATATGATTATTAATACGTGTTTTTATTTTTATTTTTTACTTTTTGTTTTTTATTTTTTTTTTCTTTAAAATGTTTTTAATACATGCATCGAGGTAAGAAAACAAGAGGATCAAACTTTTACGTGAACGTGAAGGTTACATTAGCACTATTAGTTGGTGTTTAGTGAGTAAGGTATTCCTAAATATTCATATTTATATTAAGTTTCGATTTAATATATAATTTATAGGGTATTTCTAGAGTTGGAGGCGTATTTAAAGAGTATTATTCGATTTTCGTGAACTCATGCTTTTTTATTGAGATTATATATAGTAGTGTTATATTTTGTAAAAATATTAAAGTATAGATGTGTGAATTCATACTATGATAATGCGATAATGATGGGATGCACCTCTCTATGTGAGATTAGAAATTTGAATTTTATATTTATCTTGTTTTATTTTCTAAAAAGAATTAGATAGTACTACCTCTCTTAATAGTTATTGGTAGCATTTTTGACATTTTAATGACTTTGAATAATAAGCACCTACCTGTCAAACTGATCAAATTTATATATTAGATCAATCTTTTTATAATAGTGCATCCATCATCTAGAAATCTTGAATACGCCTCTGTCTAGAGCATCATTTCAATCGAAAACTGTTGAGAATATCATTAAATAATAAAAGTGTGTTCTCTCTAATAGCTTAAACTTTCAGATTAGATGAGATGATCACACACTTCAAAATGATATCAGAGCAGATAAATATTTCGAGATCTAATTTTATCGTCATCCAAAATTAAATCAGATCCGCACACATATTAAGAGTATCATCAAATAATAAAAATATGATATCTCTGAACGAACGATTTTTCTGTATCATCAAATGTGGTGTGAATTTTTCAGGAATTTGATGCTCATTTTCCGGTCCTTATTTGATGCTATAGTAATTCTATACGCAACCTTTTTGTCAAACATTCTCTTTTTTTTTTTCATACCAGAAATAATAATAATTTTTTATTTTTCACGACAGGGGAAAAAATTGACTTCAGTTGGAATGTTATAAAGTTATAAGATTTTTAAGTTTCCTATATTAGTATATAATATAATACAATATAAAATGATTTGTTACAGATTTGTTTAGCTGTTTTTTTTTTAATGTTGAAAAGAAGCTTTAAGCTTTTCTTAAATTTTAATGATATATTGAAAATTTGGGAAATAAGTTAAATATATTGATAGAAAGAATAACCTTTTCCTAATTCTTCCACAATTATTTTGTAAATTGGGATTTGAAATATAGTATCGTGCACACAACATGACAATAGAGCATTCGTTTGTGCTATTGGTTTATGATAGCGTGATTTCTTTTTCGTATCAAAAATAACAATTCTGTTACGAAACTATATAAATTTAAAAGAAGAAGAAATTGGGGAGAAGAGAAAAAACTTCTTATGTAATGACCCGGATCCGAAAAGATCATTTTTGATAATTTTTAATTGTCATTTAACTAAATTAATTAATGTCGAATAATTTATTTATTTTTAATAATAATAAGCCAAGTTTGAAATATTTAAATAGGTTATTAGAAAGTGTTACTTTTAATACATATATAATTTAAAAAAATGGAAAAGGAATTAATTAAATAAATTCATAAAATAATAATAATAAAAAAAAGGGGGCAAAGTGCCCTAGGCTATTAAAAAGCCGCATGGCTTAAAGAAACAGAAAGAGAACGATCTGGAAAAAAAATATGCAGGTAAGAAAAGAAAAGAAAGGGAGAAAAGAAAAAGAAAAAGGAGAAGAAACAACGATATTTTTATCTCGAGATATCAAGGTAATTATTCTTATCCTTTCTATTAAATTTTTGAGTAACTAAGAATAGATTTTTAGGTTAAAACGTGTATAATTTATACTAATATGTGAACTTGGGGTTATAAATGTGTATAAGTATTATGGTTCAATCATTGGACAATGATTAGTCCTAATCATTGGACAATGATTACTCCAAGATTAGGATTATTAATAGTGGAACGATAAATATGAATTTGAACATTGAAAATAAGTGATTTCAGCAAATAGTTTTGTAGTCCGCCATTGGTGTGTTGGGCAGTTAGTTTCGGCTTTAATTATTTTCATTTGATTATCATATTAGGATTCAAGTTTTGATATATTGAGATATGTGTTAAATAGTGGGTGCATTATGATATATAAAAATCATTATAATTATGTTATTCGGAGAATTAAGATTTAACCCTAAACTTGAAATTCAAAAAATATGAGATTTGATCAATTGGTTGGAATAAAAATTTAGAAATTTTATTATAAATTTGGATGAGTTTTGGGTGTAAGCTAGAGATATAGCAATATGAATGTTGTTAGTTTCGAAATCATATCGTGGTTATTTATTTGAATAGATTTTATTGGTTTGGAAGTCAACCAAAAGAGGAAGGCTCAAGTTTTGGAGTCATTGTTCGACTATTTGAGGCAAGTGGATTTCTAAACTCTTGTTAAGTGTATGAAATGTGTGTATGTCCTTGTGGTATATGTTGGGAGTAACGGGATTGGTGATAGGTTGACTTGTCCACATTGATTAATTCTAATGATGAAAAGAATGGGGATAACAAAAGGCATTGTGATTAATTGTTTATGTGTGTTGTGTTGAGAAAGGGTTGAAGGCTTGTTGAATCATTGTTTATGTAACTTCATGTTTTTGTGGTTGTGAACTGTGCGATGTTATGAAAATGGTCATCTCCTTATTATATGTGTGAACTTGTCATCTGCATTATTCCGAGGCATTGGTTGTGGCAAGTGTTATGTGCATTGAGAAATAATGGGTACTTAAGAGGATGTACCATTTCGAGGGACGTATCGCGCGCCGCGATGGTTACTATTATCGAGGGTCGTGTCGTGCGCCGCGACAGATGCATGGACAGATATGTCCCCCATGGGTCCCGGACTGAGAGACAGCGGGTGTATATCACTAGGTCAGACATGCATCATTATACTTGACATTGCATTCCATTACATTGCACATACTTATCATTAGTGAGCTTGATATTGTGTTTTGCTGATCTAGTGATTGCCTTTTTGCGGAACTTGTGATTGTTGAATACTGAGCTTGTTATTGAGGATATATAATTGGTTGAAGTGTTGTTGTTGAGGATATGTGATTTGTTGAAGTGTTGTTGTTGAGGATATGTGATTTGTTGAAGTGTGTTATTGAGGATATGTAAATTTTTGGAAGTGTTGCTATTGAGGATATCTAATTTGTTTAAGTGTTGATGTTGAGGATATATAATTTGTAAAGTGTTGTTGTGAAGGATATGTAATTTGTTAAAGTGTTGTTGTGGAGGATATGTAATTTGTCTAAATGTTTTTATTGAGTTACGTTCTATGTAAACTGTGAGTTGTTAGGTTGGGCTGATGTTTATGTAGGTTGTAGTTGTGGAGGTTCGGTTGGGGGTGGTAGGAGTACCCGTATTTCATCCCCTTAGCTTGTGTTTAGAGGTTTACTTGCTGAGTACCGTGTGGTTTGGTACTCACCCCTTGCTTCTACAAATTTTTGTAGGTTACTAGCCCGGACTTTATGATATATTCTCTTCTTTTCCGAGGCTTCCTGGAGATTTTGTGAGGTAGTTGTTGGTCATCTCAGCATCCCTCCTTACTCTTGTTTATGATTTTGTTCTACTCTAGAAACAATATCATATGAGACTTATATTTTCTTTTTATCCGATTGTAATACTTTAGACGCTTGTACACGTGACAACCAGGTTTTGGGGTATAATGTAAGTTGATAGTAAATTTTCCGCATTTTTATTGTAATAGTTGAGTTTTAGGCTTACTTGTCTTGGTGGGATAAGACGAGTGCCATCACGTCCATTTTTGGGTCGTGACATCTTATTTCTCTTGAAGTATATTCAGGATTCATAGATCTTTCACAAATCTTATTTACAATGAAAAAAACCCTTTATTTATAAGGAAAATCTTACTTAGTCACCAAGTATGATTCCTAACCATATCCACATAATTAGACATTAACTATAACACAAATATGTTTATAACAAATTCTTTTTTCTTTTCACTAAAGGATTTTTTTTTATTTTTAGAGATTTTAATTATAACAAATTTTAATGTAATTTTACAAGTGAGCGAAATCTAAAAAAGATATTAAATATATAAAGACCTTATCCCTATCTTTCAAATAGAAAGGATATTGATTCAATAAAAATTATGATATAGAAATATGAACAAGGGTATTAATTAAATGTGAAAATGTTATTGAATACTTTCTATGTTCACTTTTTATTGTCATGTTGTATTTCTCGAAAGTTAATTTAACTAATTTTTCAAAATTAAATTAGACTGCATTAATTCATTATTTTAAACAAAAAAAGTTGATATTCAAAAATATATACGAAAAGTACTATAAAGTGTAATTTTTTACATATTAATATGATGAAAATTACATCATAAAATGTTCTAATTTTTTATAATTTAATTCTAAAAAAATCATGACAAATAAAAAAACTTATTGGCTTCTTACATTAATTATTTTTTTAGAGACCCATAGGATATATATAGATGTATTTTTTTTTCAACTCTCTCAACTGTATTTATGTTGGCAATGATATCTTACACTTATCATCTTATAAACTTATTCAAAACAACATATATATATATATATATATATATATATATATATCACGTTAATTCTTATCCCAAAATAGTATATTCCTTGTAATCCCATTTGGTTGCAATATATTATTATTATTATTATTACATATTCTTGGCTATCGAAGTTTCTTCTAATTAATTTTATATTGTGAAAATCAGAATTAGTTGAATTTTAAAATGAATATCAATGATGAATAAAAAAACAAAAAACAAATGTACGACATAATTTAAAGTTTGAGGGCATTACATTAGATTTAATTCTTATTTTGGATAATCATGATGTGTAAAAGCCACGTAATCCATGCTTGTTGCTTTATTGTAAATAAATAGATATTTAAATCATATAATGCAAGTTAATAAGCAATCCTCTTATTAATTTGTCTCCACATTCTTTGCAACTATTTATGTCTACGTTTTTATGCTTGTTGTATTATTTAAATTTGAAAAAATGGTCAAAATCCTCCGATCTATTGTCGGATTTCCAATTATTACATTATTTTTAAAAATAGTTGTAGATTATTTCTTCAAAAAACTATTATATTATTTTTTCCAAATCAGTCAAGTTCCAACTTTTTATACAACATGCCTAGTGACTAGTGTCTACTGTAATCCCGTACATGGAGTTTCGAGAGGGTAAAGTTACGTAGACCTTACTTTTACTCATGGAGATAGAAATATTATTTTTGCTTAGCTTTAAGTGCGGCAAATTAAAATAGTTATGAATAACAATCCTGTATTGAAAAAAAAACACTAGTGTTTATCCTATTTACAGGGTACTATTTTCTGACAAGAGAATGCAGTTGAAGCAAGTTTGAACCATGTAATTCCACCAGCACAAGGTGAAACAAATTCAAAGCACAACAGAACAACTGGAAGATAAGACATCATAATTCAAAAGTATTTAGAAGAATAGCTTTTCATGTCTTGCATGGGAAACAAAATTCCAATCTATTTCAATAGCATAAACACAGTTTAGCAGCTTCAACTAGGATGATTGTTTCTCATACATACCCGAGCGTTTATCAATGCCATAGAGGAAGAGCAAATCCTTCAAAAAAAGAACTCAAACCTGTATATGAAGAAACTAAAAGTGATGAGAATGCTACAGATATGAAACTTTCATACTCAACAGTGCAACTTCACAAAGTACATGAACAGTTCTGATAGTCACGGAGAACAGACGATCTTGATGAAAGTTCTTGCTTGTTTGCTCAGGGGAGCATCAGGGATGTTTTTTCCAGAGTGATGAATGTGAAAGAGCTACGTGCTCTAGTCTCCGAATTCTAATGCTTTGTGATTTTCAAGAACTAGTCGTCTCGTCATCAATCTAAGGGAAGACTTGGAAGAAATAAAACTAATATAGTGCAACTTAAACATGCAAAACAGGTTCTTCAGCAAGAGGCCTATGCTATTGTGCAGCTATGGTGCATATTTTAAACTTCTTTCTTTCAAACAAAAAAAAGATTCTACCAGAACAACAAAGTTGAAGTTGAAGAAATTATGTTGGATGCTCCACTTCAAGTTGATCAACTGCTGGAACTATTCTCATCACCAGGCTTGATTCCACTGCAGCAAAAGAAATGTGGTAATTTGACTCGACCGCAGACCCTGCAAGTTTATTTGCAAGCAGAAGGATGTTAAGAGAATTAGCATGGAATAGTGTAGACCTTAGATGGAAGACCAAGAAAGAAAAATGGAACCGGGAGCACAACAAAAATCATTGCATTAGACAAGAAAATGAAACATGACATTAAGCAATTGTCTTCCTTACAGAGGACCAAGATAAACATCACCGTGACACATCTAAATCACAAAATTATACAGACCTTTCAAATATCATCAGTTAAACTTTTTTAATGTCCTACTGAATTTTTCTTGTGTCAACAATCATAATCTTATTGTTTATCAATCATTCAGGCAAGATGTTACCTTGGAACAAATCATACTTGAAACCCATCAATTCGGGAGAGCAAAATTTTAGAAGCGCACGGTTAGTCTGACTCCTGAGCTAAGATCAGACAGCCGAATAAAATCTCAAAGACTCACTCCATTGGATAGCCAATGCACGCTCAAAAATGAGATATGTACGAAAGAAAAACACTGTTATCTTTTTGTCGTTCTTTTTTCAATTTATGGGTAGCCCAAGTACACTTTTACTCTTTCATTGCCTTTTTTCCAAGGAGTTCTCTCCCTATCAAAACTTCCCTTCACACAGAGACACGGAGTCCGACTTTCATTCTAGTTTTTGTTCCAACATGAAAGTTCCATTACAGGGAAAGACAATCTACTATAATACTTTTTTTGTGCCAAGCCTTGCTTTGGTTTCTGGTTTTGAAAGTGGGAGACATAATAGTAGTTCAGAAGCACCAAGAAAGACATATGTCGATATATCCAATCTTCTGTTGTTTACAAGCTAAATAGAAAATTCAGGATTTTCTCTTACTAGCTAAGCATTTCATTCTTCAATATGTTTCAATTGAGATTAATTTATGGGAAGAAGCAAAATATTGAAATAGTTCTTTTTGATGGCATAAAGCTCTTACTTGCACCGCATAATCACTGGCACTGGTTTTAGAGCCTTCGGTCCATTTCTTATGCCTCTCTTATGAGGGGAAACCTGCATGATCAAGCATATCCTATCAGCACAACAAAATGTGAACTAATATGTAACATGTATACATATATGCACTCTCTCGGTGTCACACGAGTGCATGAGCAAATGCAACCTCACAGCATAAGACTGCATCCATCTATACATAGGAAAATTTAAACAAGTGCCCCAAGCTGGCATGCACTATGCAAAAAAGCACAAAGAAAAAGGCCAATGAGGTAGTCTGATTGACAAGGCTCCAACTTGTTAGATAAAGATTCAGAATTTCAACATTCCTTTTTGTGTAGGTAGTTGGATCAATTCTTCAGGAAACTTAGTGTTACACTGTAAATTTTTGCAGACATTTCATGTGGAATATGCACAAGCAAGCAGAAAACCCTCTTCATGAATAACCTATTAAAGTGTGAAAGGTTGTCAACCTTCCTGCCAATTATTAACAAAAAGTTGGGAGACATTTATATGTGGAGGCCTCCTCAAAGCCATAGGTTTACCAGGATTCAGTTTACAGTCTAAGGGTAGCTAAGATCAGAGTAGGCACTTAGCTAAATTGTTATTAATTGTGAATAAATAGCCAAAATGTAAAGCTATTATACTATAAAATCTTATATCCGGGATCTTAATTTAAGTCTCAACTCCATATTCTTGTATTTAAGCTTAGTTTTACTACCTACTTTCATATCTGGAACTGTCTGGAAATTTCCTGGTCAGATCCAATCTTCGAGAATTGCAGGGGAACAGAAGGCCAAAAGGAAACAAAGAGTAACTACACTTTATCTTAATCTCGTGTATTTGCAAAGGGAATAGAGAAACTTAAGCCACTTCCCAAGTTTCGCCAACCACATAGTAAAGGCCCCAAATGCATTTACAAGACTTAATATTCTTAGTGCTTCAATTGGGATGGATTTTTTCCCAGCCGTACTTGTGTTCTCTGATTTTATTCCCCCAATAAAGATCATGATGGTAAGTGATCTCCCTAAAGACGTCTTTCTAAACATCCTGATCTATCATCTACCGAGTCTATCACCTCACATTCAAAAATAGAAAAATAGAAAAGCTGTGCATACATATAAGGTCTTGCTTCACATATTAGCACGAGAGACTTTGCAACATTACTGATATCAACTCACAACCTAATCAGAACTGAAGACAATAACATCACAGGAACGAATACTTAAAGAGTACAATGTAAAACTCAATACAACAATTAGTCGTGTTGCAACATTGTTCTATATAATCTTTCGAAGCCAAAATACATGGCAATGACAAGCAAAACTAAAGACTCAACAGACAGTTATAACATATTAATCATTAACAACAACTACACCTCTATTTCAAATAAGTTAGGATTGGCTATATGAGTTGTCATTGACCACCTTACTCCATTTAAACTCATCATGTATAATTTGTGAACATCATTAAAAAAATCTACTTTTTTTAATCAAATTTCACATCGAAATATGGCCAAACGCCCAAACTATTGTTTCCAAATCAATATTCTGAAACTCTATAACCACAAAAGAGAACATGCCCCAAAAGAACACTAAGCAATATGGTATCCGAAATCCTGACCGTGAAAATGAACATCAGCCAACAGAAAGTAAACCCAAAACTAAATTTATAACCATAATTATCACTTTAAACAATAGTAATAAGAAGAAAAAAACAATTTAGGAAATACAAGAAATAGGCTCTCATTTGAGCTTAATTACAAAGTGAAAAAGGAACGATCTTTTACCTTTTTCTTAGGAACAGCCATTAGCTCCATAGACCCTTTAAGAGAAGGTGAATTTGGGACCATAAATCCTATGTTGTTGTTGTTGTTGTCGTCGTCATGTTCAGGTAAAACCAACGATGGTGATGAAGGTGTTTGGAGATAAATGGTGCTATCAAGTGGTGGTGGTATGGATATTGCGTGAGAAAATCTTCGAAGGCTATTGATGAAATTGGAGCTGCTTCTAAGCTTGGCTACTGTAGACGCCATTTTTGACAGGATGAAGTGACAGAGGTAGGAGAAGGTTAGAGGCCCATATGGGCAATGAATAGTGGGCTTAAACTGTTTAAAAGTTGGGCTTGTGTTCAAGAAAAAGACAGTGGGAAAGGATAATTGAGGCACAAAATGAAAGGCGAAAAAGGAGGAAAAGCCGAACTCAAAAAAATCCTTTTGATTTGATTTGCAGTATAAAATCCCTTAACTGTATGTAAAATCTGTAATCCATGGCTATTCAAACTCCATTACTCATAGTAGGCCCTTTCTCTTGCCAAGAGATCACCAAAAAGAATTCAAGAAAAGACACTTTTACACCAATTGACCCTCTTGCTCTTGTACCCAAATGCAAATCTTTAAGAGACCTCAAGCAAATTCAAGCCTTTTCTATAAAAACCCAATTGCAAAATGATATATTTTTTATGAGTAAGCTCATAAATTTTTGCACAAAAAATCCAACACCTGCATGTATGTACCATGCTCACCTCCTGTTTGATAAAATTCCACAACCAGATATAGTCCTTTTTAACTTCTTGGCCCGTGGTTATGCTCATAGTGACACCCCATTAAATGCTTTTGTTCTGTTCTTGAAAATTCTAACATTGGGTGTTGTCCCTGATTTTTATACATTTCCTTCTTTGTTGAAGGCTTGTGCAGGTGCTGAAGCTCTTGAAGAAGGTAAGCAGTTGCATTGTCTTTTGATTAAATACGGCCTTAACGGTGATATGTATGTTTGTCCTGCACTTATGAATATGTACATTGAGTTTAAGGACAATGATTCAGCTCGTCGTGTGTTTGATAGGATAGCTGACCCTTGTGTGGTAACATATAATGCAATCATAATAGGTTACGTGAGAAGCAGCGAGCCAAATGAGGCTCTTTTGTTGTTTCGTGAATTGCAAGTGAAAAAAATTAAGCCTACTGATGTTACAATTCTAGGTGTTGTTTCATCATGTGCTTTATTGGGAACGTTGGGATTTGGAAAATGGGTACATGAATACATTAAGAAAAATAGTTTTGATCAATATGTTAAGGTGAACACAGCACTTATTGATATGTATGCAAAGTGTGGGAGCTTGGCTGATGCGATTTCTGTTTTTGAGAGCATGCCTTATAGGGACACTCAAGCATGGTCAGCAATGATCATGGCTTATGCTATTCATGGGCGTGCTCGTTGTGCAATAACTTTGTTTCAAGAGATGCAGAACACTAAAGTTAATCCTGATGGAATTACATTTTTGGGCCTACTCTATGCCTGTAACCACAGTGGATTGATCGAAGAGGGTTTTAGATTTTTCAATAGCATGACAGAAAATTACAGGATTGTACCAGGGGTGAAACACTATGGATGTATGTTGGATTCATTAGCTCGGGCTGGCCGCCTTACTGATGCTTTTAAGTTCTTAACGGAATTGCCAATTCCACCTACACTTTTACTTTGGCGGACATTGTTAGCTGCTTGCAGCATCCATGGAAATGTGGATTTGGGGAAGCTGGTACTTGAGAGAATCTTTGAACTGGACAAATCACATAGTGGCGATTATGTGATCTTTTCAAACATGTGTGCACGAGCTGGGAAGTGGGAAGAAGTGAATTACATCTGGAATTTGATGAAAGAAAGAGGGATTAAAAAAATTCCTGGATGTAGTTCGATAGAGGTTAACAATGTACTACATGAATTCTTCTCTGGGGAGGTTACGTGTATTGAGCACAGGGAACTGCACCAGGAAGTTGACAAGTTAATCGAGAAATTGAAATTGGTTGGTTATGTTCCTGATACATCTATAGCTTTTCGTCCCGGCCTAAACGATGAAGATAAAGAAGCTACTTTGAGGTACCACAGTGAAAAATTGGCAATTACTTTTGGTCTTCTTAATAGTCCACCCGGAAAAACAATCCGTGTTGTTAAGAACCTTAGAATCTGTGGGGATTGTCATTCAGCTGCGAAATTCATATCACTTATCTTTAAACGAAATATTATTATTAGAGATTTGCATAGATTTCATCATTTTGAAGGTGGAAACTGTTCTTGTGGGGATTTTTGGTGACAAATGATCGATATGCACTCTTGCGAGAGGAAACCTCTACCACCTTCACATTAATGAGTTTCATCAATTTTGAAGGTGGAAAGAGTTATATTGGGTCGTTTTGGTTACATGATTGATGGAATGCTCACTAGCGAGACCAAGCCTATACAATCTTAACACCAACTGGATACAATGCAGAATTTTCTTGTGATAATTGGGTTCATCAATCATCATAATAGTTTATCGTTCAGATTTGTTTGCTAGTGAATGCTGATGAAAAGCAAACCCAAGGTTAGAAAATAAGCTGGTTTCTTATCCTTCTTTACCATATTACTTTCAGTTCAGTTTCTTTAATTTTTGTAATACATAAATTAAAGATGAAGCTACAACTTTCTTAAATCAACTGTAGTACTAAACAGCACTAATTCAAGAAGACAACCTAAAATTTGATACATATTCCCTGTTTTGAGTAAATTGAAATTTGTCTACAACTAACATCCTTGAAATGCTTTTTTTTCTTCATATTTTGTTATAGTTATATAGTTTCCATAACTTTCCAATTGAAGGCCTAAATGAGTTCCCTAGATGGGATCATTATATTTCTTGGACCACAGAGTTTTTCTGTTTAATAATAATGTTTAATGAAAAGAGAGGATAACAAAACTTGTAGCACATTAATCTGCTTGGTGAAATTCTGACCACTAGCCATCAGTTAGACTTTATGAACTACCATGCAGTTTCCTAATACATGTGGTATCGCTCGTAGGATATTCATCTCTTCTTAGCATGCTTCTGACACTTCTTTGTGATTGAGAGTCAAATCAAGAATGGCTTCATTTGGCACATGCTCATTGTCCAGATAAACCTGTTAGAGGGACGTAGCCGTGTGTTTTTCACATGATTTTACTCTTTTGGCATGACGAGAACTTAAGCAGAGTGATACTTTCCATCCGCACACTGGTAATCCTGATGATTTGTATTGTACATACATATATGTGTATAAAACTCTAGACGGCAAACACCATTTTTAACTCCAATAGCAACCATATATGCACACAAGGATAGGATACTACCGCCCTATACTGATCAAGATTATTGTAGTAAAATGTTTGTTTGTTCTCTGTGTCACACAGAATTTTGATTTCTTTTACTTTGTTCAGCAGGCAAGTTCTCCTTTTATCGCTAGTTCCTCTTAGAATATGATATCATTACTCCTGGAATGTTTTTAGGTAAAAATTATTGGAGTTTCCCTAGATTTGAACTTTCTAACTTTAAGGTTATGTTTGTTCTCAGTGGCCACCAGCACTATGTGATCAAAAGCTAAGTTGTTATTCAACTACTGGAAAGCCAACACTTGACTTTGGCGTTCATGGACTTCGACCAAATTACGACAATGGCTCCTATCCATCAAGTTGTGATATCACAAACCTCTATGATGAAACAAAGGTAAGCTCAATGAATTGTGATTTTACATATTATATTACGATGCTTTTTTGTACCTCTGGCACACTGGCATTTTCTCGTGAACATTGTTAATTTTGTCGAAATAGCTTCTCAAGCACTCCCAAGTTTCAACCAGTGAAGTTCCTTTTTATGATTCTTATGAGAATGCTTTAGTGTGTTTGAAGGGAGGCCCTCTACATTAATGTATCCTGCACAGATGAAAACCAATTATATATAGGTCAGAAGACTGGTCATTTGGAGATCTGGATACTAAGAGCCTGTTTGGCTCAGCTTAAAAGCTGGTCAAACTGACTTAAAAGCTGGTTTTTGACTTATTTAACTGTTTGGCAATACTCAAAATAGCTTATTTTAAGTTAAAAAAAACTTATTTTAAGAGCCTGTTTGGCTCAGCTTAAAAGCTGGTCAAACTGACTTAAAAACTGGTTTTTGACTTATTTAACTGTTTGGCAATACTCAAAATAGCTTATTTTAAGTTAAAAAAAACTTATTTTAAGTCAAAAGTTAAAAGCTGGGGTAGGGGTGCTTTCTTTTTTTTAGCTTTTAAGCTGTTTTAAGTTGACCACATTTTTATGTTTTTTCCCTTAATATTTTTATACAATCTCCAAATTACCCATATAATCCTAACATCTCTTTCTTCTATTTTTCCTTTTTCACGTTTGGCATAACAAATTCAGCACTTTTATCCAAACGCATAACTGCTTATTTTAAAAATAAATTTCAGCACTTTCAAAAGTACTTTTTTAAAGCTACTTTTATTAAGCCCATCCAAACGGGCCATAAGCCAAAAGTTAAAAGCTGGGGTAGGGGTGCTTTTTTTTTTTTAGCTTATAAGCTGTTTTAAGTTGACCATATTTTTATGTTTTTTCCCTTAATACTTTTATACAATCTCCAAATGAACCATATAATCCTAACATCTCTTTCTTCTATTTTTCCCTTTTCACGTTTGGCATAACAATTTCAGCACTTTTATCCAAACGCATAACTGCTTATTTTAAAAATAAGTTTCAGCACTTTCAAAAGTACTTTTTTAAAGCTGCTTTTATTAAGCCCATCCAAACGGGCCCTAACTCTGAACATGAAAATTTATGTCGGTGCAGATCAAAGACCTGATAAGTAGCATGCAAGAGAACTGGCCAACGCTAGCCTGTCTAAGAAATAAAGGAACAAAATTCTGGTCACACGAATGGGACAAACATGTTACCTGTTCCCTTTCTACTCTAGATGAGCATTCTTACTTCAAAGCAGCTCTGACCATTAAGGAGAAGGTGAATATTCTTTCTGTTCTTAAAGATGCAAGTACTTATAGTTATTTTCCAGTCCAGCATCAAATTATTCATTAAGTCTCGAAACAAACACATTGCAGGAATTGAGCCAGGAGGCTTTTATAGCGTGGAAATAATCAAGGAAGCTGTAAAGATGGAACTGGACATGAAGCAGCAATAGAATGCAATAAGGATGCACTTGGTAACAACTAACAACCAACTGTACCAGGTTATTCTTTGTGTTGATAAGTATGTAGACCTCATCAATTGTCCAATACTCCCTCGAAGGAGATGCAATGAAACTATTGAGTTTGCAACCTTTGGTCCAGAAGACTCTTCGAGGAGGGATCTTTCTTCACTCTTTCTCTAGAGAGTGACCAATCTTCAACCTACTAGGCCTTCTCTTTCCCATGTTGCATTGGGCCTTCTTATGAAATAATTTTTCCTACTCAGAGAATTTCTTGCATTTCCATTGAACTTAATAGAGATATAGCAGAAGCAACTTTGTGCAACTTATTTTGCTATACTTCTATTGGCTTCTTGTAATTTAACTCCCAGTTATTCACTCCAATTATCAAGCAAACTTGGGTTGGCTCTCTTTTTTATCTTGTTTGAAAGTCCATATTTGAGTGTTTAATTTGTCCATCAATCCGATATTCTTTGGATCAACAGATTTCTTTTGGACAATCATTGTCAAACTAACCACATCGGCTATGAAAAAAGAGCAAAGCTTCTTTTGAGGTTCTTAAGAGCAAAGCTTCTTTTGAGGTTCTTACCAACTCATAGGCCTATTCAACTTTTGATGATAACACGAAGTGGATGTGACATTTTACCGTCACAAATAGCCACTGCTCAGTTCCTATAAATGAAAAGTAGCCGCTGTCATGGAGTTTCGAATTCCAGAGATGAAACTCCAGGACATAATCATGAAGTCTTTCCTGTAGGATCTGACATCTAAGGTGTCTAGAATTTCTCTTGAAAGCAAGTCGGAGTGCTCTTCCTTTTAAGCCCTTTTCCTTACGGTTCTATAGACCTTACCTCACCAATCTTTTATTTTCTCTCAGGATTTAATTCAAGATGCTGTCTCAGTAGTTGCATTCTTTCTAGTCCCCTTGAAAGAGGAAAGGTGCCTAAGTCTGTTTCATTCCATCTCCTCAAGTTTCAATTGGAATCCTAGTGGTCATAGTCCCAAGGTAATTTGAAACTCCATGACAATAGTTATTTTTAAATTACATCACCGAGAGTAGCCTACCTTGCAGTTTTTCATGTTTGTTTTATCGATGACGTGGTTTGGCGGATTATAAATTTTTGTCTCCTAGCCCCAACAACCATAAACTCCTTACTGGATTGGAGTCATGAACATAAAACAAGACCATTCTCATGGCTGGCTGACATAACATGAGTACTATAATCACTTTGTATTATGTACCTCTTTGTTAGAAAGCCTTCTATTTGATCTGCATTTTGAAATAGTCGCAGAGTGTCAAATGCCATCTTAAATAATTGGTTATCCATAAGGAGCTCAAAGTTCTGGTTTTATTTACTAACACAAACATTGGATATAAGAGTTTAATTTGTTCCTAAGTTAAGCATCGTTAAGACCTAGGTTGCTGCTGGACATTGCTAGCTAAATTAGCCAGCAAAGACAGATCTAGGATTTGAGGTTAATGGGTTCCTACGGCGACCTCAAGTTAGTATAGTATAATAACCGGGTTCACATTCAAACATTTCTTGATATTTATTAAGCGGGCTGGGGTGGAGTTACACTATTAGGTATGGGTTGAGACAAACCCAATAGTTTTTGCTTAGATCATGTATTTATGTTAGAAACTTCATTAAATATGTATTATGTATTTAATTGTGAACCTAGTAACTAAAACGAGCTACAGATACATATGGTCCTATTTCAAAGAACCAGTCATATAACATGTGTAACTTGCTCTCCTCTTGCAAATTGCAATATCACATCATATGTTTCCTGTTTTTGGAACGGTGGTCCTGTGAATAAAGGTAAAAGGAATACAAAAAAAGGAATAAAAGACATAAAATGTACAAGTAGACACTTAAAGCTAAACAAATAAACATGTGTCCTATGTGGCATAATACACGTGTGTCTACTTGTTCAACTGACGCAAAAAAAAAGTGCCAAAAACTAAAAGTAGTAAAAGAATAAGGCTAGCTCATGAATTTCATGTGTTACACCCAACACATAGATGGTATGTTGAGCATGAAGAAAAATATTTTTCATGACATATTTAAGATTACATGTTTCAAAAGTATACACAAACAAATTAAAATGATGCAAGATTCAAGAACAGGGTATTTTCCTTCAACAAATAAAGAGCATGAGTGAGCATTGAAATAAAAAAGATTGAAATTCAAGTCACCAATCTGATTCAAAGTTTGTAATGAAATTGAAATTTGAACTACCTACTGGTTGTCTCATTTTCCTTGTACTTGTAGATACATTAATTGTACAAATAATTGTTTGCACGATTTAATGTATAAGAGTGATTTTTTGTAGGTGTTGTGCATTTTTCAGTATTAAGCATCAACGTGAGACTTGAGCAGGAAAATCATCAATCTCATCTGTCCACGCGTTCTTTTCTTTGGCTGGATTGACTGTCTTGAGGGCGCGCCAAACAGCACTATTACATTTGAATCCTGATCCAAATCCTATTTGCCACGCTCTATCGCCCTTCTTAATCCTTCCTTTAGCCTCGGAATAGGCCAAATTGTACCACACTGAGCTACTTGAAGTGTTCCCAAACCTATACAGAGTCATTCTAGATGGTTCCATAAGTGCTTCTGAGAGATCAAGATTCTTCTGAAGCTCATCCAACACAGCTCTCCCCCCTGCATGAATGCAGAAATGCTCGAATGCCATCTTGAAATCCGGTATGTACGGTTTGATTTTCCGTTTAAACACGTTCCTTGCAATTAACGAGGCGAAAAAGAGGAGCTGCTCGGACATTGGCAAGACCAATGGGCCTAAAGTTGTGATGTTGGTTTTTAAAGCCTCACCAGCTACTGCCATTAGGTCCTTCGACAATGACATGCCTTTTTTCCCATCCTCTTCCTCATCTTGAAACACGCAACTGAATGCTCTGTCGTCCGCGCCTTTATGGGTGCGGACGACATGCATCAGTTGATATTTCGACCGCCTCCGGTCGGAGAAACGGTTCGATAGGAGAACAGCGGATGCACCCATCCGAAAAATCATGTTTGGTATTAGCTTTGATTTATCATTCCCAGTATAGAAGGCTGATGAGACTATTTCTGTGCTTACTATAAGTGCATAGCTGTTGGCTTTCCCCTGTTCAATCATTTCAAAACTCAACAATTTTTACCAACATATTATATGATGATGTTTGATCCACACTAGAAAGTTTCTGAAAATTGATTTGACTGGAATCTCATTTTTTATTAAAAGTTGATGATGATATATTAATGAATCATATTGTGTTTTAATGATACTTTTAAGTATTAAAGATTGATATATATTAATAAATCATATTGTGTTTTGATGGTACTTTTAAGTATTAAAGATTCATAATATGTCAAGTATTATTGTAATATGAAATAATGAGATTGAAATAATTACGAAGGAAAATGACTTCCATCCGAAAGCAATAGAAGTCGTGTTCATTCTGTTGGTGGAAAAACGTCTTTGTTGGAAAATATCTCATAACCAGAAAATCACTAAGAAAAACATTTTAAAGAAAATATTCTTCTTTATATAGAACACACCCCCAAAATACAAAAATTAAAAAAAAATTAAGATATTTAGTTTCTTGCAAAATGGACTAAAAAAAGAGGGACATACCTTCATTAAAAGTGTTACTTTAAGAAATAATTAAAGTTTCCATGAGAATTTACAATCAGTTCAATTTTAACTAGCTAGCTATATTTAGAGGTTATTTCTAAATATATATATATCTGTATCTATAATCTTTTTGAAACGTACTAAAAAAAATATATCAAAAAAGACGATACACCAACCTGTAAAAGTCTGTTGGCCAAGTCCACAGATATAAGCCCAGCACTGCAGCCCATACCTCCAAGATTGTAAGTAATCACATTGACACTAAGTTTATAATGGTTCACAACCATGGCAGAAAGAGAAGGTGTTGGATTAAACATACTAGAATTCACAATAATAAATCCAATATCTCGAATTTTTACATCAGTTTTCGCCAATAAATCGTCGATAGCACCAATAATAACCAATTTTGCTTGATTTTGGTTACTACTAAGGGAAAAATTCGAAGGGATCCACTTATCTACTGGAATGTATGTCTTGTCACTTAAACCTGAGTTGTACAATATTTTCTTTTGAAAGTTCAGACTACTTTCATCGAAAATATCTGTCAGTTTCTCTACTAAACGTTCTTTCGATATCATGTAACGTTCGTGTGGCTTGTAACACGAGAAATCGACTAAGTAAACGTTTCTCGGACGACTCATGAAGTATATTGTGCCCAAAAATACAACAAGAGTTGAGTAAGATTTCAACATTGCAAGATTTTTCATGAGATCTTCAAGTGTAAGAGTTGAAAGATGAAGTCCCACAGCAACAAGAATTGGAACAATTATGAGATAAATTGCATTTGAGATTAAGTAATGGTAACCAAGTTTAACATATTTAAGTCTAACAGAGAGAAGAAAATTAGGTAAATTTGATGATTGAATTTCTCCATTAGGAGAATTTTGTGCCATTTTTTTTTGTTACAAGAAAATTATGAGTAGAACAAGAAATATTGGAGTATATGATATGTTTGTTGAATTTCCAAAATACATCAACATTGGTCAATTTAAAGAGTGTGAGAAAAAAAAAAAAAAGACAACCTCCTATTACATTAATTAATGTGTCATAAATTGATGACCTAAATTAATAATGTAAAGTCAATTTTGGTCATTTAAATTTATCATCTTTCCATTGCCGTAACATTAAATGCAATTAAACACCCAACACATTTTGTATACCCCTACCTATATGGGTAGGAATAAATTTTCTTACTCGTGATAAGAAGATAAAGCTAATAAATCACTTTCCTTCCATTTTATATTATTTGATTCGTGATAAATATTTGATATATTTTTTTTAAAAAAATTCGTTAAAAATATATTTTATTAAATAACATGCTTTTGAAACTTTGAATTGATTATTACTACAAAACAAAAATAACTTTTAGCGATACACATCAACAAAAAGTGTTAAAAACTAAAACTTTACTGACATTAAATCATTGTCATTGAATCTCATATCGTTATAAGCTTCACAGACATTTTCAAAAAATGTTAATTATCGCTAAAAGTATATAGTAATAGTGAAGTGGTAATTTTTTTTTAATACAACGTACTACTATTTTATGTAGATATTTAATACAAAGCATAGTAAGAAAAAAGACTCTTAAACTGATAAGATAAAAAATATATTTATTTTTTTTTCGATACAAGGGGCAAGTAATTAAAATGAAACTAATTAATTGTTTAACTTGTAATTAAGAAAGCATAGCGGATTATAAAGTTAAATTCCTTAAGTGGTCATCCATAGAAGTGTCAAATAAATGAGTATAAATTAACGAGTTATTAATTCGTCCAAAAGTTATTTAGATTAAAATTAAACATATTCCATTTTTATTAAGTTTTAATTGGTTTTTTTTTTTTGAATCATGAGATAGGTATGGAAGGCAAAAACAATATATAGGGTGAGAGAATGGAATTACTAAAAGAAGAGAAATCTAAGACTTCAAGAAAGTTAGGGGAATGATGTCTTCTACCTAAATAAAACCATATAAGCATGCATTGCATGATCAAACAAAATTGAAAGCTAATATATAGAAGGTTAGAGGTAGCGTAAAATAATATTAATAAAAAAAAATCTACTTACATTTTCGGTGTGATTTGCAGGCTATTACATAATGGGTGTTTATCCCGTGTGTCTAAAGTACTCACTAAAGAGTGCTTATTCAAAAATATAGAGATTGAGACAGAGAATATAGCAGTTGCAGGTTATCATGAAATTCCAAAATAATAAAAAACTCTCGAAACAGCTAGATCGTGAAAACTATTGTATGTGTCATGTATATAAGGAGACAAATATCTTATTTATAGAAATTCAAACAACTTCTTTAAGAAAAGGATGGTATAATAGATGACTCATTTTCCCAAAAAATACAATATAATAGACTATTTTCCGAAAAGACTACTAATTTTATTTTATTTTTGAATAAAATATAATTATGATAAAATTGAGTGAAATACTAACAATAAAGCTTATTGTAGAGAATGATAATTTTCATCATTAGAAATAAATGTAAACACAATTTATCTTTCAAGACTCAACTACCGCTAGTAACATAATTGAACTTAGGAAATTATATAACACCTCTTCTTATATTTCACATTCATATAATCTTATGCTTTTATCATTAATTTTCATATATTTTTCTCATTTTTTTTGTATCAAATAATAAATTACATTTACATGTTATATCATATGAAATGTTAGAGCTTATTCTAGAGAATGAAATTTTTTAACACATATACAATTTATCTTTTAAGACTCAATTACGTGTAGTAATATAATATGATTGAACTTAGGTAATTACATTACACCTCTTCTTATATTTCACATTCATATAATCGTATGCTTTTATCGTTAATCTTCATATTATTTTACTCATCTTTTGTGGATTAAAAATTAATAAATTACGTTGACATGTTATCTCATATATTAAATGCTTAGTTGGCATACTAATTAGGCAAGTTACACAAAATCCAAATATCTCAACCCAAACACAAAAACCCCACCTGATTGATGACCTATTTATTTGACCCGATCCAAAAATATGTGTAGTATAAATTAGTCCCTTTCCCATTTATTTTCTAAAATATTTAATTTCAAGCTAGAAATTAGAAGAGGGCCCCTATGATAATTTATTTCTAGAAGGAACTTCTAATAAGAGAATCTTATGCTATGTATTAAAAAGATGATAAAAAATAATGGGATATGAGTGAGTGGACATCCTTATTTGATAATGTTAGATCTGAATGTTGGGTCATGAATGTTGGGTAGAATTTGATTAAGGTACAGGTCCTGCGACTTGTTTCTCTTTATTTTTCAGATGATACTTGACTTAAGGAACAAGTCCTGCGACCTGTTTCTCTTCATTCTTCATATGAGACTTGTCTTCAGATCAGACTTGAATTAAGGAACAGGTCTTGCGACCTGTTTCTCTTCATTCTTCATGTGAGACTTGGTCCTGGTTTTCATGACTATGGCCTGATCTGAGTTTCGTTATCATTCTAATACCCCCCCCAAGTTGACGGGGAGAGAAGCGAGACACCAACTTGCTATCAAGTCTATGATGTGATGAACCAAACAAGTAGAGTTGAACTGGTAATGAGAATACTGAATGTCATGCGACTTGTTTCTCTTCATTCTTCATGTGAGACCTGGGCCTGGTTTTCATGACATTCAGTATTCTCTTCACCAGTTCAACTCTACTTTTTTTAGTTCCTCACATCATAGACTTGATAGCAATTTGGTGTCTCGCTTCTCTCCCCGCCAACTTGAGGGGGGGGGGGGGTATTAGAATGATAATGAAACTCACGCCAGGCCACAATTATGAAAATCAGGCCCAGGTCTCACATGAAGAATGAAGAGAAAAAGGTCGTAAGACCTGTTCCTTAAGTCAAGTCTCATCTGAAGACACGTCTCATATAAAGAAAGAAGAGA